GTTGCCGCCATGTGATTGGCTGATTAGAAATTAAGTGTTAACGAGCAGTTGGACAGGTGTACCTAATAAAGTGGCCGGTGAGTGTATATGCCCACTCTGTCATGACTTGGTCACATGGTGTCAGACAACATGTTCTCACTCCTGACTCGTCACGTATTGATGCTTGGTCAGGTACCATTTGTGTCCAGTTTTGCCTCGTCCGGTAACCCCTTGTGTCAGTTATTGACGCTCGTGGCTTTTCTGGGTTGCGCCACATTGGGGTCATTGGGTTGGGGTTCTGTGGTTAATGGGATCAGGGTTAATGTTTAATTTTAAGTACTGAGGTCAGAGATAGTATGTCTAGGGCTAATAGAAGTTAAATTTAGGGTCTGGGATGGTTAGTTGTCGTGCATTTCCTACTCTTTTCAAAAATATGACAACACGCTCCTCCTCCTCCGTCTCATCTCGTTAAGAACTGATGCGAGACGGTTACCCGACATGTCCAAACTGCACGCAGACGGTACCTGACCAAACGTCAATATGTTGATGAGTAAGGAGTGAGAATGGGTTGTGTCAAGATGCAGCTTTGTGCTTGAAGATCACAAGTAGCACAATGTTACTGCAACTGGTTTTAAATCTGTGTTGTTTCCAGGATGTTTTCCTGTCCAGTCCAGTTCTGACGACCAAGCCTTATCAGTGTGTGTGGGCCGTATAAGCTGAAACCATTCTTCTGTGCTCCACCCAGAACTCCACTACACAACCACTACACAAGTCCTTCCACATCCTGTCCCACTCTATTACACATGGTGTACTGTTTTTAAAACGCCTCTAAAGAGCAGAAAGACCCTGCAAAGATCTTCTGACTGAATACTGAGGTTGTCATTCAGTATGGCGGGACTTATTAATATACTAACTTGAYGTTACCTTTAAACTCATCTAAAATKAATCTRAATGTTGTAATATTGCCTAAGAGCCTTTTCTTTAAATGCTGTTCGGTAAAATMATTGAGCTTTTATTTTAATGACTTTTAGAAACCTAACATGTTTTCAGTCAGGGATAATTTGTGGTTAAAAGTTAATGTGAATATGATAAATCGTGTCTTCTCTATGTCATATATGGACTGTTTCAATCGAAGTCTCAAAGAAAACAGAAGTGATGTCATTGTTTAGGCAGACATGTATCCTTCAGCTAGACATGCGTTACCATTTAAAACTTAATGTAGGGGGGCCAGATGCACATTTAATTAGTTGGTTTGACCAGATGACAGTTTGAGGTCCATTTAGTATAATAACATTGGTCTGAATTTATTAAAACAACTCAACTGTCTACAATTGTACTTGTGTATTATGTTGATCTGTTGAAGCAGAATGCATGCAGTACATTCCACCAGCTCTACACGTGGATCACACAGTCTACTTGTTGATAACAAACTGAAACAAAGGGAAGGAGAAGTGGATAAATGAGATGATTGACAGGCGACATGCGACACATCGTGCAGAGACCAGACCAGAGAAGGAAGGGTTAAAGAGGAAGTTGACTGTACCATGCTGTTTGTAGATGGGGGGTTTTCTATAGATATTATCTTTGACCATAGTCTCTGAAGATGGGAACAGAGCAGAGGAAATGGAAGAAGCCAGCATGGGCGAGGGACAGAAAGAAAGAGAGAGAATGAAGAAAAACAAGCATGAGTTAGCCGTTTATTGAAGGATGAGATTTTCTGAAGCAAACAGGGGCCAGGAGGGCTTCGTTTAATAGAAGACATTTGTCATTTTTATTACAGCACTTCAGAAACATCAACACTTTTAACGGTTTTCATGCAACAGGATATTTTTCTTCCATTGGTCTTTATTGTGAAGAACTGGGAGGTTATTTGATGCAGAAGAACCGAACATTTCAACAACACTCAGAGAATAATATCAAAAAGCACACATCAATACCTCGAAAAATTCCATTGGTAAAGGTCATATCATATAAAAATCTCAAAAAACAAAAAGTTTTTTCAACACTGGATAAAGTATTTGTAGAGCATGATGATACTGTATGTTTTCCACAAAGATTGACTGAGTTCTTCTAGTGGACCCAAACAGACCTCTGACTGAGATACCTGTCATTTGTTTCACATTAAGACACAACAGAAACATGATGCACAATAAAACAACATGTGTGTCATTCATCTGGCTTTTTCAGCGTGTGTCARCATCTGAAACAATATTCAGACAAACCATGAAACTCATTAAATGGAGAATTGTGGGCTGTTGTTTCTACTTAACTTGCTCCCAATGGGAGACTACCTTTCTCTGCATTACTAACTGTTTTTGGAAACAAAATCAAAGATGAATAAAAGACATACCGACATACAGTATATCCAAATATTGTATATCACAGTTTTCTTTAGGTGGTGAAGTCAGCTGTACACCATTGCTGAATTTAAAAAGATCTTGATTTGAAATTGTTCATTTCTGGGAGCAAGAGTACAAGAACTATATAATATGTAATATACTGTAATATCTAAATGAATGGTGCTTTCAGATCAAACACATTTAACTGTTAGTCCAACTATTAAACCAATATAAAAAACAATTTCTGCGTTTTTGCACTGCTTGGGAACGCTGTAATTGCTCAGCATTCAGCCGACCAACAACAATGGAATTGTTGGAACTGTGTGTTTTGAGCCTTTAGTTCAACTTTTAAAGATCCTTAAGTTCCTTCTACTTTGGTAAACTGAACACAGCTTTAATAGATTTGGTGCTGGACAAGTGGTCTGTCAGCCAATAAAYGTATGTTTATGGTAGTTTACTGGTTTACTTGTGGTTTCTAGAGTTTGTAAAAAGTAAAATAGGAGGCAGAGCTTCAAGTTATCAGGCTCATCTCTTGTGGAACCAMCTTTCAGGTTCTGTCCATGAGGATGACACTGTGATGAAGCTTATGGTTATAATTGGCTTTGGTTTTCTGAGCCATCCTTTAGTTCTGTTGCCCTTCGCAGGCCATTCATCTCCTCACTCTGCTTCTCTTTTCTGTTTATACATGCAATTATTRCTTCGATTAACATGTTTTTYCAGGTCATTCTCACTCCCAMCTCRTCACATATCAACGCTTGTCCAAGGTTCCCTCTGCGTCYGRTTTTGACCCTATAAAATAAACTGAAGTAGCCCACTGCTGTCTAACAAACAAAAGAACCCCATGTCAAGAGGAGTGAATCTGTTCAAAACACTTTTGACTGAAAACTGCATCTTTGAGGCTTTGGTGGTTTCACCTGTGTGGGTTGAAGACTGTACCTTCAAATTTACCTCCCACAAACAAAACACTGTTTCTGTTTTATTGGTTTCTTTTGACTCAAACATGAAGAATTTGAATGGAATTTGGCCTCACTGGAGCAGAACAGGTAGCTTTAGTTTGTTAAATGAAGTCATTCATGATGCATTAACTTCAATCCAACCTGAGATCAGGTGTACTTATAGGACTAAGTAGGAGGCTCAGCCAGGATTCCAAAATTAAATAATTTGTATCAGATTTGAAAYGAATTTCCTGGTCTTTCCCAAATTATTTTCCACTGAAAAAAAGAGGTTKACATTTAAAACACAAATCAAGAAGTTAAGACTGTACCATAAATAGTGTAAGCTGAATCAGCAGTAATCTGGTAATCAAGGATCTGGCACTAATGTGCATAAACGTTAATCCAAACAAACTCCTATATAAACCTASTACAGTCAATAGGATTTCATTTGTAGAAGCACCAATTATTCATGAAGTCTGGTTATGATCTCACAGCTTACCTTTTTAGTCAACTACACCACCCTACGCAGCGGAGTGTAAATACAGAGAAAATCATGAGCAGAGCTACAAAAAGAAGCAGCTCAGTCACGGCCTACCTGGTATGTGGAAATGCCGAGGAGCAGCCATGTAYGTAGACGTAGATGAGGGGGATTTGCCATCAGAAAAGGTAGATAAGCTGGGGGTACTCCGGCCACTTTCACTACCTCCAGTGGGCACAGATGTGGGTGGACATTAGAAATGAAGGGCAAAACAGGAGAGAGAAGAAAAAGGGTGGGGGCAAACAGGCAATGTTACGTGCAGTAAGTAGGTCTTTAAAGCTCATACAAAAAAGATTTAAGTTCTGTGTCAGTGATTTGATAACCCAGCCATTTACTGTGTCTGTGAGTAAAAAACTGTAGATTTCCTTTCTGGTGTAGTGGTCACCCCGGGTGAAATAAACATGCAAAACTGTCCATGACCTTAGGCTAGATGGGCCCCTTTAAAGAGACAGAACTTTGCTTCAGTTAAAGCCAAAACAGGTCTTATTAAATGTTCAAAATACATTTTCTTCTTCTTAATTGGATAAGAAACAGAATAATTTTCTTTTATTCATATTTTCATGAATGTATAAAAAATATCACAGAAAATGTAATTTTAATG